TAGTAAGTACAAATTTTGTTTCCAATTATTTGGGTTCCGTACCAAGATTTATGATTCGTTTTTTTTCAAAATTACACATTTTTTGCAGAAGCAATTTTTTCAATATTGTAAAAAGCTTTTAAAAATTTTCAATTACGGTACGGTAGGTTCTAGCAATTTGTCTTAATGCACTATGCCATGCACTATTAGTTATTTTCCCTTTGTCGATTTCGTAAAGATAATTTATAAAAGTAGACACCTAGTAATTCAAGCAATTTTTAAGATTTGTATGATTAAAGTACGCAATAAGATCTATTAAAAATAGTATAGGATGGTAATATACTTACTATTAGTATATTGTGATAAAAGTAGTGAACGACCTTAAAAATTATGTATGAATTTAATAACTCAATTTTTAAGCAAAATGTAGTACTGATAATATTCAATTCAATTCAATAAAGCACTTGATAACAGCGTTTGATAGGAAAATGTCGCATCATAAAAATTATAAGTGATGTTGTAATTGATTTATCTTTTCATTAAGTAATAACTCAATAAATTGAAATTCTTTACAACTTTGAAGTTTTCTAATTAAATGTCATATCAACATATTTCCAAGTTATTTTAGTTATTATTTTTGTAAAACCCTCTTGAGTAGTGTAATTTGAGCCTTGTCAAGTAAGCCGATATAATTAGTAATGATTATCGCTGAGTACTTTAAATTACCACTGAATTTAAAAAACAAACATGAGTTGTATATCATGTAAATAAACATTATTTGTCGCTTTAAGTATAGGGCCTTATGTTACAGCCGTTTAAACAAGTCTGTCTCATATTACAATATTTATTTATTTCTGAATATTGTTTTCAAGAATTTGAAACTGTATCACGGCACGACACTGTTGTGATAACAATTAGGAAGACACCAAATATTGACTCTTCCAATTAATGTAGATCAGCAGCAAACATGGCAAAAAATAGAATCACTGTTTCTTAAATATTTTATTAATGGGTTAATAGAATTGTTTCCTAAATATTTTATTAATAGCTATGAGCAGAATTAAAATCATTTTTCGAATTTACATTCAAAATTAGCCAACTGTTCTTGGCCAACCTATTTAACAGCTTATGGCTCTTCAACTTTTAAATCTTATAAATCAACTATTGATAGCTTAGAGTTATTGGAATTATCTTTAAAATTAATAAAATTATATAAATGTAAAATGCTCTGGCGGCAAAATACATATTATTTTTACAATTCGCGAGTTGAAACGTTTCATCATTAATCCAAATATATAATTTTGGTGAGTGTGAAAACATCAGCTTTTATTTGATCTTCTGACAAACCATCAATTCAATAATTAGATATTTAATTTTATATTTAATTATTTTTTTCTTATGAAATTCCACAATATTTACAAATTATGTTTCGATATATTGAAATATGATGATTAAATTTCAATGTAAATTAATCAACTTTAAATAGAGTTTAAATAATCAACATTGGAATGTTTCCCATGAATTGCTTTATAATCTTAAATATTCAGCACTACAACTATTTTTACACAATATTGTTTAAATCATACAGCAATGCAACTATTTTTATACAATATTTTGTCATAAAAACAATTTTCAAAAATATTTGCCAATTAAATATTTAGTTATTTGTGTACTTTACGTAAGTAAATATATAGTAAATAAAGTACCAAAAATGGATTGGGTGAATTTTGGCTAATTTTAAACAATTCTTGAAATTGGAAAGAAAATTCTTGAAATTATATATATATATATATATATATATATATATAATATATATATAATATATATATATAGTGGTATCAAAATTGCTATTGTTATTAGTGATGATAACCAAGTTATCTGATAACAGCCAATCAGTATTATTATCACGTAAATTATGAATGTTGTAATATGTTGTTACAATATCACTTAATTTTTTTATATCTACTGGATAAGAGTTATCAGATTACCTACATTAGGGATGTGCAATTTTTATTTCAGTATATTTATTTAATCAATGATTATTTAAATAATATTTCATAAAAAAAACTATTTCTTCTGATACTTCTGAATCATTATGACACAATTTTTTTCAATTCTGCCAACATTTAGCAAGTCATACTAGGAAGAACAAAATACAAAAAAAAAAAACATTTTATTATATGGAATTTGATCAATTATTCATTAATTTGTCAAAAAATGTTGAATTTTGTGTATTGCTGTTTCTGGCATGATTTGATGACTCGTAACAAGTGTCGAAACATTTTATTTTTTTTATTTATCAAATTTACTACTATAATTTAGGGCGAGGCACAAAGGTCCAATTTGACTTTGAGCGATTATATTGTGAAAACCAAACCAATTATATCACAACAAATAACACATGTCAAACAAACAACTATCGAACTACGTTCAGAAAAATTCCCAGGTAGAAACTCCCATTATTGCAGAAATGTGTATTTTTTGCTGTTTTTCAAAAATTTGTCACCTAGTCTTTTGTCCCCATATGCGGGGTAAGAAGAACCTGTTATTTTTTACTTCTAAAAAGATTTTACGAAATAATAGCTACATTATTCAACCAATGCAAAATATAAATATCACGGGTACATTTTTTATAGAGACAAAATATAATCTTGTTCTGATTTTGTCAGAAATATTCTTTTGTAAAAAATTAATTTAATTTAATTTTTCATTTATTATTTTCTATTGTTTTAATAGGGTTCAGTTGGTCCTTTTTACCCCACCCACGTGTAAGCATTTATAGAGGTTATATAAAAAAAACTGTTTAATCTAACTTAAAATTAACAATACATTTTATAAAACAATTAAATAACATATGCTTAAAAATTATATTAATGTCTCGTAAACTAAAACAACAGTGCTCACAACCAAAAGAACTAACAACGAATAAAAATACTTTTGTTGAAGATTTTTTATTTTTTACATTTATCTCCTAATACTCATTACACATATTTTTCCCTCTACTTTCAAATATTTTGTTATAATTTTTTTTAACATCACTTGTTTTTATGATATCAGTGATGGACCGATTTTACCCTCGTAGCTTTAAGTCCAGCTGCTCTACTCTATATATTAAATCTGTTTCAATACATGTATGTGTGTATATATAAATATATATATATATAATATATATGTGTGTGTGTGTATGTGTTCTTATATGTATGTGAAATTTTGCATATATACATAATTAAATTTGCATTTTATCTAATTCAGAAGCTCCCGATATTAAAATCGCGTGCGTCAATACAAATAGTATCCTCCTCGATCATTACATTGCGTGCTGTTTGTTATCAAATTATCACGTGAACTCGTTATACTGGCCATTTAAGAAAATGTTATTTATAGTTAATAACATAGAAAAATTCTCTATAACATACTGACCAAAATTGTCAAGGACCAGGCGAATAAATACGATTATTAATTACAAGACAAAATGACACAGTTTGTCCGTATTTTCAATTAGATAAATTTTGTTCTTGTAATATTTCACTGTAGCTATAAATGTGTTGGCCATTATTGGATACTGTACTATCTCTAAAATATACAAAACTATTGGTTCACAATTGCGAAAACAATAACCTAGTGTTGCATGGCATCGTACCTTAAAGCTATTTGCCGGAACTTCCCGTACTGAATATTTAAAATTAAAAAAAAAACTTTAAAATATTTTAAAAACTTTGAAAAAATTAGATTTCTGAGAATTTTGAAATTTTTGAAAGAAATGACTTTTTTGAAAATTTTGAATTTGTTTACATTTTTAGAACGTTTGAAAATTTTGAACTGATTTCGAAGCAATCGCGCTGTTTCAATTGCGTAGAGACGGTGAAAATTGTTACAGAACCCATAGAAATATAAAGAAAATTTGTACTTATTATTAAAATTTTTCTAAAATATCTAATAATTTGATGTGCATATATTTAATAATCATTTTTGACCTCCAAATAGATTTGTTTTTACTTTTTTTATTAGTTCTCCAAACCGCTGGACTTGCCTTTTCAAAAATTTAAACAGTTCTTCATTTTGTCATTATAATGTGTTTTTTATATCATTCAGATCGGACGCTCCGTTATCTCAAAAACTGAATTACCATTTTTGGCTTGTTTTACACCATATCTTCGAAACGGATAGACCTGCCTTCACGGAAAACCAACTAGCACGTCTCTTCATCAACACAAATCGAATGTTTTCTGAATTATTCAAATCGGTTGATCCGTGTTTCCGAAATCGTCGACAAAAATTGATATCCGCACACACATACGTCCATTTTTTCTAATCTATGCCAAAATGTTCAGAAACCTTTAGAACGTAAAGAAAAATAAAAAATTTCATATTCGATTTTTTTGCAATTACTATATTTTACCTTACGGGAAGTGTAATCACAAAATATTATTATTTTTAAATTCAATTAGATATTTATAATCCAAAGTTATTAAATCTTCAGTATTTAGGTTATATAAAAATGTTTTCAATTAATTCAATATTTTATTAAAATTGATGCATTTATCTTATCAAGCTTATTCTTTTTATACCCACTTGAAGAATAAAAAGTTTACAATTGGAAAAGATGCTGACAATTATTAATTGATATAGCCATCATTTAATCTACCTTTAATTATTTATATATAATATTTGAATCATTTTCATTGTCTTTGTTATAAAATTTATTAATTATTCATGTTTAGCTACACATTTGTTAAATTTAATAATTAAACAATTGTATAGCTATAAATTAAGAGTATATATATTTTAAGTCCTACAAATATTTTTGATATTTTAAGGTTAATAACAGATATCATATCTGTAGAATATAATAATGATAACATGTTATTATATGTATTTGACAATTAACATAACAAACTAAAAAATGCATGCATATATGCTAAAATGCACATCAATTTTAAGACGTCGAAATAATGGAAAACTGTGGAAAACTGTAAAACCAGCAATTAGTTGTCTGTAACTAAAATATTGTAAATAGAACAATGCTTAATTATAAACCAGGGTAATTCGTCATGTATATTATCGGCAAATTATATTGTTTCTTAGAAGTCAATTATGCATAGAACTAATCATTATTAGTTGTTACTAATACACTACTCATTTTTTAAGTTAAAATCTAAAAATAAAATTTACACGTATATGTTTATAATGCATAGAGTATTTCTTAGTAGTATAATTGAGAGTACTATAAAATATTAAATATCTTTTGTAAGATGTCATTGCAAAGTATTAATAAACCCATAGCTCGATTAAATATGACGTTACATTCTATTAATAATTGATTGCTGAATGCAGAATTGATTAGTCATTCCTATCACACAAGCCCTTTAATATTTCGATTTTTTGCTCGTTTGTTCACGATGAACATAATTTTGAGACTTAGGCATCATAATTTTAGACTTATTGTTAGAATATAAATTCATATTATTTTATTCAATTATATCGTCCGGAATGCAATTTCTTCTTACTCTATAGATGATTTATTTTGATTTTTTGCGCTCAGTTAAATTTTTTGAGAAAAATATTGCAGGATTGTGTGTGAAAAATCCTTAATTTTACGCAGTAGTATTTGATGGATGTTCTTCTAAAAGCAAGGATAAAAAAGCTGCAATTTTTTCATATTTTGCTACAAAAAAGATAAAATTTGAAGTGGCTACCATAGATAAACAAGTATAATGGTGGCTAATAATCAAGGGACAATATTTTTGTATGTGCGAGATTAGGTAGTTAAGTTCAATAATTTAATTATGATTTTTCATATTAATGTTTTAATAAAATAATAAAAATCAGTTAAAATAATGAAAATAACTAGTGGTTTATGGCATCGTGCCTTTACGCAAATTGCTTGAACTTCCCGTACCAAAAATTAAAACTTTTAAAAAACCTTTAACATTTTTTGAAAACTTGAAAAAACTTTTGAAAAAAATGAGATTTTTGAGAATTTTGGATTTTTCTGAAAATCTAAGAGCTTAAGCGCCACATACAAATAAAATGTTTTTTGAATTATTCAAATCGGTTGATTCGTGTTCCCGAAATCGTCGACAAAAATTTGTATCCGCGCGCGCGCGCACACACACACACACACACACACGCACGCACTTATACATAATTTTTTTCTAAGGTATGCCAAAATGTTCAAAAACCTTTGAAACGTGAAGATATATAAAAATTTTCAATTTCGTTTTTTTTTTGGGAATACTCTAACTTACCCTACGGCAACTTAATAAGGGTAAAACTGTTTTACATTTTTCTGAAGCATGGAGCTTTTTCAGTAAGTTTATTTTATTTCAAGAATTGTGTAGTATTTTATAAAAAAAAATTATAATTAATATTGTAAAGTATTTTGTACAGTTTTCTAGTGTCTACAGTTTTCTAGTGTCTACAGTTTTCTAGTGTTTATTAAACTAAACTATTATTTTACTAGTGTCTGAACCATGTCTAATCTGTTACATGTCCAAAAGTTATACTTTAATGAAAATATTCTTTCCCTCTGTGCTAGTCAGGCAAAAAAACGAACTCTGGTAATTTTGAAAATGACAGATCACAATTATTAAAGGTTTAGTTGAATTTTAAACTTCTATCTGAAATGAAAACTTTTACAAAAACTCTGTCAAATCCGAAATAAAAAAAACCTGAATTCGGTACAAAAAATCTTAAATCGGGCAAATATTGCTTCTAGAAAATCGGGAACGCATAGTGAAAATCCGGAACCCTCAATCCAAAATGTTAATATTAATTATAATTAAATTGGTGATAAGGATAGTTTGACCACTTGATCCACTGGTGAATATTTTTCAACTTGTTTAAAATTTGATAAACGAAATTACTGTGTGAACAACCTAATGTTATATATATATAAATATTTTAACCTTACATAGCGATTCGAAAAACATGTTATTTAAATATCAAACACGTATTGTAGATAGTAGAATCAAAATCCTAGAATATAAATTAATAATATGAGTAAGAGCTATTAATTGTCAGTAAATAGAAGTAATACAAAGTAAAGTATCAGTGGTAATTTTTTTTTTGGAAATTATCTGCTTTTTCGTTTTTTCAGAAAAATATTCATAATCAAAAGATCCAAATGGAACTACCGTTACCATTGGCTGCAGAACATATAAAAACTGCAATTTTTTTAAATTCAACTGAAGTACAATATTTTTCATTTAATGCAAAAAATCATCAATCACGTTGCAAATAATTTTGTGCATTTTTCAAATGGTTAAATCTTGAGATATTTAGTATATACGGCCGTCTTCCTCGAATGGCTTAACTTTTCTTAATAAAAGTTGATCTTGGAAGATATTGATTAGCGATGCAACCACAAACCTTGTGATTTGTACGCGGAATGTATTATATAAAATGAAAGAAATTCTTTATATTTATTTTTGAAAATTGTGCTGAAATTTTATACTTTATAATTTTAAAAATTTATTAAAAATTTTTTTTTCACGATCATAAAATTATATTTCAAAAAAATGGTTAAACTTAACACAAGACTTTAGATTTTATTCTTATCCCCAAAATTGTTATGACATTCATATGAAATACTTTTAAGATTCTGTGAAACTTTCATTTTCTTCTTGTCATTACTTTTCATTCGAGTGAAACTTCTCATTTTACTGGTGTTTGAACACTAAACTGTTTTCTCACTTAATCCAGTTTTTATAATGAAATATTTACTTGCAAGGCAAAAGCAAGAAACAAATAATTTTTGATTTTTTAATATAATTATTAACTTGTGCTGTTTTCAAATAACAATGTTCTGTATCATTGTTATAAAATTCTTTACTAAAACAAGCGATATTGATCAATCCCAAATATTTATCATAATTTTGGAATCATTAAAAAAAAATTATAATATAAAAAAACAATTTTGTAGTTATTAAAAAAAGATTATTTTATGTTTTTGATACTGTTCTCTCTAACTTCAAGCTCATGTAGATCTTAGATTCTAATTTATTTATAAATTTTGCATGTAAGTTTTCAAGGACTTGTTATTTTTTTTAAACCCTTTTCACTCGGATGCCGCCGGAGATCTCGGAATTCGCGAGTGAAAAGGGTTAATTTAATCGATCACGATAGAGTTATGATATTTTAATCGAGTATGCCTGTTATATGCTTTTAGTAGAAACGCAGTTCTACAAATATTTATAAATTTATCACAGAGTCCCGGTTTCAAATCCGGGTTTTAGAAAACCCGATATCGAGCAGAATAGTGATATGAATTTCCTGTTGATGAAAAATATTAGAAAATATGTTCATAAGTGGAAATAGCGTTTCCTGGGAATAAGTTCAAATATATCATCACTATTAGAAAAAGAACTACTACTGTTGTCTTCTAATATAATATAATATATTGACAACCACTGAGTTGCCTTGTGAAGACCCATATAGCATAGCACTTTGAATTTTTCTGAAAATTTTGAACTTTTTTTCAAAGCAATCATGCGAGACTGTTTTAGAGGGAAAAAAATCGAAGCGCGTAATCGCCGTATTGCAGTCTAACGTGCATATTTTTTGCGATTACTATAACTTACCCTACGAGAAGTTAATTAGAACTTTTATATCTAATTGCTGTTAGAAAAACATACAAATAAACTTAAAGGATTATCAAAAGTGTATTGTACAAATTACTAAAACTAAATAAATCACAATGCAAGAAGTATTCTCTACCACCTCTCTGGAGTGATATAGTAATGAATGCATGTGATTTGTATTTAATTCGCATTTGGCCCATTATTTCTATAATTTTCATACAAGTCTCATTGAATCTATGACTAAAGGCATGTAGGCTGCCAAGTATGTAACTTGATGTGTGCTTTCACATTTTCGTAATATAATAATATGTACAGTTAAAGCCGAAACAATACACTTTATCTCAACAATTACGCAATCGTTTGAGGATAATCCCACAATTGTGCATCACGTATAGAATCGTATAAGCCAGAGGTTCTCAATGTCTGAAACACGAGTAGCTTTGAAATAATTAACATCAGGTTGAGATACATTTTTGCACCAATTTTTTAGTAACATTATTACCGCACGTTTTTGATTTTATTAAGTATTTCAATTAAAATTTATTAACTTCCTGATGGATAACTTTGTTTTTGCGATAAAATCAGATTTGATAATTTTATGTTTTCTTGACGTGTCAAGTCATTCTGGATCGAATGAGACCAAATTCAAAAAAATTATGTGTGTGTACCCATTTTTGACCTTTTGTCGACGTTTTCTCAAAAACGACCGATTCAAAAATTTAAACTACATTTAAAAAATTAACTTTTTTTTAGTTTGATTTTTTTTTTTAATTTTGGGCATTTTTTTAAATAGCTGATTTGGAGCCGAAATATCAAAGCGCGTAAGCGCCACGTAGTCGTCTAACATGTAAACATTGGTACGGAACCCATATAAATGTACACAAAATTTGTACTTAATATTATAATTTTTATAAAATATCTGATAATACGATGTCTATTGATCATTTTTGACCGCCAAATGGCATTATTTTTTACTTTTTTTATTGGATCTCCGGAGACGCTGGACCTGCAAAAATTTCACCTGTTGTTCATACAAGTTAAATGTTTTTTAAATTATTTTAATTGTACTCTCCGTTACCTCAAAAACTAAAATGCCACTTTTGGCACTTTTTGCTTCGTATCTCCGAAACGGCTAGACCTTTGTCAAAAACAAATCAGCACGTCTCCTTATCAGTAGGAATCGAATGTTTTTTATTCAAATCGGTTAAGGTGTGTTCGCAAAATCGTCGACGAAAATTTGTATCCGCACACACACACACACAAATCTTTTATCTTTTTTCACAAGTTTGTGAATCCTTGCTATATATTTATATGAATATATGTATATATTTGTATGTAATGTCTATATACGTACAAATCTAAATCCACATTTGTACAATGTGGATTGTATTATAATCTAGTACAATATCATTATATATATACACTGTGCATTGAATTGCATACCTGAGCAATTGCTCAT